CTAAGACCACAACCAAAAATATTGCTAACAGCGAGTATACCAAACTGATGAATCAATGCATCCTAATCATTACGAGCTTTTGTTTTATGGCAATGAATGCTCTTAGAGTATATCAAATAAGCTACTTTATATACTAAGTTTTATTAGTTCGTATCTATTTAGGTAACTTTCTTTGATCAGAAGTTATTTAGAAAAGAGTGCACAATATTTTACGACATGTGGCACTGTGCCAACAATTGTTTTTATTTCTCATGGAATACAAATTTGTGGTAGCCTCGAAGTATGTCTGCTCTTATTGACTTTTGTCAGTTAAGTAGGTTAAATAAAAGTTTTAAAAGCAGGTCCAAGACCTATATTGTGTTCAGCCTTAAAGTGTAATTAGTAAAGATTAACTTACCTAAAGTCTATACAAAGTTTCACTACACAATAGGTAAAATATTAAATTATTTTATACAGAACAGTCTCATGTTTCTGTCAGTTTAAGCTGGAAAGCTCGTCACACTAATTTCTATTACTAGATATTTGACAAAATCCAAATGATCAAAGAAAGAGATCTAAATCCATCAACACTATCAAGCAAATAGAAATAAACCTATTAGAATTATCAAATAAACAGATCTAAGTCCATCAAGATTAATAAATAAATAGATCTAAGTCCATCAGTGTCGTCAAATAAACAAGCCCTAATCCACATAGATCTAAATCCAACAACCGAATTAAATAAGCAGATTGAAATTAATTAACGTTATCAAATATACACGTCTAAATCCACCAACGTTATCAAATACACACACCTAAATCCACCAATGTTATCCTATAGATAGATCTAAATCCAACCACCTACTTAAGCAGCTTCTTTATTTGACAAGATTAGTAGACTTAGATCTTTTCGTTTGATAACGTTCATTAATTTAGATTTGTTTGAAAACATTGGTTGATTTAAATATTTTTATTTTGCCATTTGCCCCGAAGAAGGAAATTCCACTTTCTGAAAACGCCCAGGTTATCCTACGTTTTTTATAATATCATAGACATGTAAATCCATCAGGATTATAAAAAAACATTTCTAACTATCTTAAAGTTAGCAAATAAAGATATCTAAAATCATCAGTATTGTTAAATAAACACATGAAAATTCATCCAAGTTATGAAATAAACACATTGAAATTCATCAATTTTATCAAACAAATAATTAACTCCACTTACTGACAGCATCAATATAATCTTTACAACCGGCTCTATACCAAGTAAAGCAAGAAAACATATATATACAATAAACCTAACAGGATTAAATGTAGTTTCACTTGATTGTACATGTAAAACCAATTATATTTATTGTATAAATTTTAATTGTTCCCTAGTTTATACTTGTCATTCTATTAGTTCTCATTCTTAGTGGAAAAAAATTTTTCGTTTCTTGAATTAAGAACACTTCAAGTTGTGATAGAGCTAAAACCACATTCATGTAGCAGTTTCAAACTATTATATTTTAATATCTTATAATTCAAATAAATAAATTAATGTTATAACCAATACTAGGACGGCTAGTATTTTGTAATTAAACAAGAACACGTCTTTTTTTCAGTTATGTTCAGCTAGATTGTTTTAAATGTTTTCGTGCAGGTATTCTACGCATCTGAGCAGAACGCGAATAATTGTAACTTTGACATTAATCTGCCCACAGTGGCACAGCGGTATGTCTGCAGACTTACAACGCTAGAAACCAGGTTTCAATATCCGTGGTGGGCAGAACACAGATAGCCCATTATGTAGCTGCGTGCTTAACTACAAACATACATTAATACTTAACTCGGGCTGTGCTACACATCACAGTGGCCATTATACAGAACATGTACTCGCCTGAACATGATCTATATCATCGCTTCCCACTGGTGTAGGTCATTGTCCAGGTGGAGAGGTGATATAAAAGTTAGCATGATCTGATTGTTAATATCCCCTTGAATATCACGAAGAAGATACAATAGAGGTTTGTGGGATACTAAACCAGGACTTTGATCTGACTTAGCCCTGGAGTATAGATACAATCTGTTCTATCTGCTTTGATTATGGTGGGCAGTTTAGCCTCCATTTAATTCAAAAGAGGAGAAAGTGTCTAATACCATTTCTGTTCCTACGTTCTCGAATGTTCTCTTTTCCTGTATTATTTACAAATTATTTATGTGGCTTCAAGTACTTGTAGAATTCATGTTCGTAAAAGGTTTATCAAAATAAGGAAACTTAGTAACGAAGGTGGTTAAACAGTTATGAACACAAGTCAACAAATCTTTAACTTACAATACTTATGAACACCTTTTTCAGAAAGCAAACGCCTTTCAAGTGACAATTAAAAGGTGTTAGAACAGCTTTTGTATGTTAAGTAAGCATCAACAGGGAAAACAGTGCCAAACTATAATCAGGAAAACAAACACATATCAGCGGAACAAATGAACACCTGTAACTGCAAGTAGTAATGTCTTAAGTGGATAAACTGGGCAACTGCCCAGGACCCATAGACAAAAGGGAACTCCAGAAGAGATGTATATGTTTTCCCCTATATGCACATATATATATTGATGAAGATTTATGTACTTAGAAGAATTCTATACTTTTTTTTTATTCAAATTTAATACATTTTCTTTAACGCAGTATGTAGTAAATATAAAATGGTTTGGTTTGAATTTCGCGCAAAGCTACTCTAGCGCATCTGTGCTAGCCGTCCTTGATTTAGCAGTGAGGGACTAGAGCGTAGGTAGCTAGTCAACACCACCCACCGTTAACTCTTGTGATACATTTTACGAATAGTAGGATTGGCTGTCACATTATAATGTCCCCATGGTTGAAAGAGCGAGCATGTTCGGTGACAGGGATTCGAACCCACGACCCGCAGATTGCAAGTCGTGCGCCCTAACTACCAGGCCATGTCAGGCCATAAGTTTAGGAGTACAATTCATAATGAGACGATCTCAAAGATAGGTGAATCTCAGAATGTTTCTCAATTTCCTTGATTTCAGCTCAAATACAAAGGAAAAAAAACGTACCTCACAAGGTAGAACAAAAACTCAATTAGCAAAAGCAATTAATATATATTTCCTACTGTAATATGGAAAGGTACTCCAACTTAAATTGTGCCCAGAAACCTCCAAAGTCATTAAGACAGCTCTGACAGCAAGTATATCACTAGTAAAAACAAATCTAGCCTACGGCGCTGGAACAATGTTTTATACTAGTGATCCTGAAAGTCATTAAACAAAACTTTATAAGCCCTGATGGAGACTATGTATTTGACTTTTATTACTGTGTTAAACCATATTAATATTGGTTTATTTTTTCGTAGTTTGTGTAAGAAAGCGTAAACTTCAAACTGGATTTCCCCTGAATGTCAGTTCTCGCTCAAGCTTGAAATATACTGCGCGTTCGCACGATTTCTTTCTTTCTTTCTTCTTTTTCAGTAGTTGCTTCATGAAAAAGTCAAACATTAAGGCCTTTCCAAGCTGCGTTTTATGGTCACATGATTTTGTAAAAACAAAACTGATCGTCATAAAAGGGAATAAATTGGTATGCAAACTCAGTCAAAGTTGTAGATCTGGTAGGCGTTTGTAAAATCGCAGTAGGAAATAATTCCTACAGATATTAGTTTTCCTTAACCTACCTTTTCATTGTAGCGAAATGCAGTACAAAAGCGTACGGAAATTATTCAAGGCTGTTTTTTTCTTAATGGAATTTTGTAACCTAGGTAAGTTTTTAATTGTGATAATCCAGAACACTTCGATTTTATATGAAAGTTACTGTTTATATCGCAGTTAAAGTCAGCGTATCTGTAAGCATGTCATACACGTATTTGATATTTAGATAACTCAAAGTACTATTTATGTTTAAACATATGTGCAAAGGTAAGAGAGAAATATCAGGTTTATACAGTCAAACTGAATGACGTAAAAGAACGTTCAAGTGTTGTCAATGGCTGATAGGTTGAAAGAGCATAAAGCATACGTGACTAATTCAGGAAAGTTTGCGAGTGTGTTGTGTTGTAGTTCTTTGCTTACCATCTTTTCCTGTGATGTATAGTAGCTTTGAATCAGTCAGTTTTATATATAAATTCGTAAGAGTCAAAAACACAAAATGAATAATAATTACGCTAAAGGCCAGTCAATTCTTTTAATATAAAAGTGTTTGTGTGTTTTAGAATTTTCACCCAAATGTATATGATATACGCATAGGCGTTCATTATTTTGAAGTGGAAGACTAGAGGGAAGGCAGTTAAACAACAGTATCAATCTTGTTTGATCGAATATTGGAATTTGGCCATCACTCCTATCGTACACCCACAGCTTAAAAGTACGGAGCGCGTTTTAACAGCAACAGTACACGAGTTATGAGTTCTCGGATTCACATTCCAGGCCACTAAACAACGCCTGGCCCAGTATAAAACGTACAAATGTTCTCGATCTCAAGGTCATGTTTTGTCGTGATACTTTTCATATTGATAAAGAAAGTACAGGAAAAAATCAGCTAAACGTTTACAGTATCATCAGCTAAACATTTATAGTGTCATCTTTCTTGTGTTCACAATGTTTTTGCAGATTTATTATAATTTTGTTTTTTTGATATTACATCAGATTTCAGAAACCAAACGTCAGGATATCCTACGTGAGTTGTGCAATGAATATTCCTCCTACTATTATAAATTTAAACTCGGAGAAAAGTGTTGATTTTCTTTACAACATGTTTCTAGGAGACAAACTGTCCACTGTCTCGTCATATACTTTATAACCCACTAATCGGCTACTTGCTTCATCATCTTAAATTGTTTCTGAGCCTTCACATTTCAAGTGTATTCTGTTTAATTCTTGTGGCATGCGACAGGTAAGAGACCTTCCTGCAAATGTACATATGATATTTGATGTATTAAGTGTACAAAATGCACTTAGTTTTTCTAAAACATGAAACGGACTCTTTTTATACATATATGCAGCAAGTTGGGGCCAAGATGTGCCAATACTGAATGAGCTCGTAGCCTGCAGTCCTGATCAACCCCATGTAATTAAATCATCCTTTGGAATAATAGACTTTCTACAACCACATAATCACAGTGGATCGTGTGTCTGGTTCCTTGATAGTTTTTCTGACAAGGTAGGAAAGTGAGTTTCGAAATATGTTAACTTCTAAACAAGAAATAATTTTTGTCAAAAAACAATGAAAAAGGAGCTTCAGTTAACGAATTTAATTTTTCACTTACTATAACATAAATGCGTTATGATAATTTAGTATAAAAAAATTCGTAAAAACAGTAAAATAACGTAAAATGGGTCTAAATACACATTTTTCGCTTTGTTTGTTTTTCAATTACATGGTAATTGAATAAAGGCTACTACTTTTCTAAATGATAAATTGAATCACAGATGTTGGTTTGAAAGATTATATTCTACACTGTATACCAATGGCTTAGTGTTTTTTGTAATGCAATTTCAAGACTGTAGAAATAAATTATACACCATTTAAATTTTAAATAATAAATTACCATCGTTGAATTTGGATAATTTTAATATAGAATATATTTAAAAGGAGAAACTTTGCTTGTTTGCTGTATCTCGTGAATAATTATTTTATGAAATTTTGAGTGGAAGTCTTATCGGTTTTAAATAATTCAAGTCATGCTATGATTCAATTCATGGTTTCATGACATCTTTTATATTTTTTAATATATCTTTGAGTTCATAAATATTTAATAAAACGATTATCCAAATTTGGAGAGATATTTTGATCCTGGAGTTTCTTGCACTGAAAAACAGAATTGTACTGTAGATAATAACTGAAAACTGGCCAGTTTTAGTGGGGGCGATCTTCTGATCCTGGAGTTCCTTGTTTAGAAAGATGATAGTACTGCAGACAGTTCCTAAAATCTGGTCAGCTTTATCTGCATTGAATATTTCAATAATAGCTGCATTTTACTATAGCAGAGTTTTCCTATAAGGATTTAGCTAATTAATTAAGTTAATTCAGTATCTGTGTTGATAAAAGGCTTATCAGACACGGTAGCCAAAATTCTACAATGATGAAATCTCACAGACGCTTTAAAAATGTGTCTGAATTCTGAAGTGTTAAAATCTATAGCTCAACCCTTTACATTTTCCATTAGTTTATTTAATGTTTTGATATAAATAAAAAGACATGGTTTGTGTACCTTTATGCTTTTGAAGAAAACAAAATGTTCTGGAGTTGTTTAAAATAACGTTTCATTCATCTGCTAGACTGTTTGGTGAAGCTAGCTAGCTCAAGTCATCATCAGACTTGCAATCTGAACGTCTCCTCAAAGAACCTTCAAACCGAAAAATCTTTAAAAACCTCTCATCTGTTATTATTGAAAATTTTATTTTAGCTGTTCTTAATATACCGTGTGATGTATTTCTTATTTATGTGTGGTTTATAATTACGATACAATGAAATATTGTTCAGTAACAATATGGAAAATAACTTAAAACTTTCAGATCATTCGGATACGCATCCTGGATTACTTTGGTGAATGTAACGAAGGAAGACTGGAAATATTTAATGGAGAATTTGATTCAAGTGGTCTTCTTGGAAGATTCTGTGGATTTCTAAGTAATCGATTCATGTTATCAACTTCCACTAAAGTGCTGATTCGGTTCAAATCAACTGGAGCTGGAAATGGCAATAATGGTTTCAGGCTTTATTTTGAGCATACAGCGCCGCCTGGTAAACAATTTTCATGATTCTTTAATATAATGACTATTTTAAAATGTTGTGTGTAATGCGTTGGTAGTTTACAGAATACAGAATAATATTTTAACAGCTATTGGTGCAATATATACACATAGACAATTTAGAAATACCTTAATTTTTAGTTTATTAATTTGGATACCAGAGTCGTTATAAACAGAAATCGATAAAAGAAATAAGCTGAAATTATTTGTTTTATAAAACACTTTTCTTTGATATTTGACTATTTCTGAGCTATTAGATTCAGTAAAAAAGCAATTCTAAAATGATGAGTCCATCCTGATCAGTTTACAGATCCGTAATGAGTTTAACTGTCACCTGATTTTTACCCATTTCTTTGAGGGTAAAGCAAAATACGTGGTATCCCCACATTATTTCCGGTCATTTTGTTTTCTCTCGCTAACCTATATCTAACTTAATAACTACAAAACTATAAAACTCCCAACAAAATGAAATATCAGTTTCGACAACGAATGTTCTTCGTTTAACCACAATGATCCAATAGTTATATTCCGGCAATCTTCGATTTGTCAGCCCTGATATAATGCGAAAGGCCCCGTCGACACTGGATATAGCAGGTATTGTATATTTAAAATATTGATATACAGTCTCCTTTACTTTTACTCATAAGATCTTAGAATTTCTTCATTAACACCTGAATGCATTGCATCTTAAAATTTGCAAATGTTGAAAATGTTAGTATTGCTATGACATGAATTGTAGGTGAATTTTGCCGAAAAACAACACCAACAACAATATAAAAAAAAAAACGAAGGATGAACAATTGCCATATTTGGAAAATATTCCCACTAGGTTAAATATAACTTATAACTGACTTAGATAAATGTTTACATTGAACTCAAGATATTTAACAATGCTTTTTTCCATGAATTTTATCGTTTAAAAAAAACGTGTTCTCTGTTTTATATGTATTTTTCGTTTGTTTGTTGTTGTTTTTTGTCATAATACGTGCAAAGCTACTCGAGGGCTGGTTGCGCTAGCCGTCTCTAATTTTGAAGTGATAGATTATAGTGAAGGCAGCTAGTCAACACCACCTATCGACAACTTTATAGTTACCCTTTATCAACGAATAGTGGGATTGACCGTCACATTATAACGCTTCCATGGCTAACAGGGGTGAACATGTTCGGTGACAGAGTTCAGTTCCGTGACCAAACGCCTTAACCACCGGGTCTTTATAAGTATAAACCACACATACATTTCCCTTGTCGGGTTTTAGGTCTTAAAGATCTGGAGAGGATCAAGGGGAGGGTCCTTCATGTATAAACCACATCCAGAAAAAAACTCTTTTCAAAATCAGTAATTCCTATAGCTCTGATTGGATGGTGTGAATGAGACTACATGACGAAAAATAACGAGTAGATTATTCGAGTTACGCTCTTATTTTAACAAACTGTTGTTTTTCTTTTCGTTTTCCTTCTTATTATTCATTGCCAGTCTTCCTCTACGTTTATTATTTGCCAGTCTTCCTCTACATTTATTATTCTTTTTTTCTACACAATTACGATAATATTTTTATGCATTTTCTTTAGTGGAATGTGATCGTGACCAGGTTTCATGTCATCATCATAGCAAGTGTGTCACCAAGGAATTCGTTTGTAACGGAGTTGACGATTGTGGTGATGGAACAGATGAGGAAAATTGCGGTTTGTTGCTTTACTTTTAACTCAATCTCTTCAAAAGGCAATCGTTAAAACAAATTTCAGATACGACTCTTTTATGTTATTTGATTTAATACTGCTTACCAACGTAAGAAATGCAATCTGAATGTCACTAATTTTGTGGATAAAAATATTTTGAGTCATTTGCTGTTCGAAAGTGAAATCGAATGATAAATTAAACTCACAAGTTGAATCATATTTTTCGTAGAGATGAAAAAAGCATTTGACTCTTTGAATAACGGAATTTGTCCTGTTTACCTTGAGGGAGTTTGAACTATTTACCATTCTCACAGCTGTTTAAATTGTTGACCGTCCACGAAGGAGTTTCCATTGTTTACCATTACGTAAGAGTTTGTATCATTTACTATCCACGAGACTGCATAGTTTACTTTTCGCGTAGAAGTTTGAATTGTTTACATTCACGTAAAATTTTACAATGTTAATCCACCCATGTAAGAATTTGAATCGTTTACTACTCATGGATTTGCATTGTGTTTACTGTTCACGTAAGAGTTTGAACTGTTTACAATAAACATAACAACAAAAACAGAACATCCTAAAGTGACTGATGATAATTTTTTTTCTTATCTTTAAAATAAAACTACTAAAATCAAGAGATTCGTCAAAACACGAATAACATATACTTGGTATTTTTGTCATGCCTATAAGAATACATAATAATTAGCTACATGTATATCTTAATTACTCGGTATATTTGGTATTTTTTGTCATCCCTATAACTTAGAATTTTTAGGGAATCAATGACAGAAAACAGTAACAAAGAATTGGTTGTGTTTTCTATGCAATAACATACTCCGTTTTCTGTGTAGTTTCATTAAGTTTTTTGGTTGTAATATTTAAAATTATTTTGAATATTATTATTACATTGATTTTTACAATTATAAAGATTAGCTGTCATTGATAATATACAACTTATAACTAATCTAAATCTCTTAGTTGGTTGAACCTTGTAATACATTATTGGATTTACCTTTGCGAATATTGTTAACATCGAAGATACTTATCCAATGAATCAGTGCATTCTAATCACCATTGTTTTTAGTTTTCTTTTGTATTGATATATGATGCTGTGTACTAATAGACGGTTTGGTGCATAAAATTATCTTCATTAACTTATAAGTTTTGATCTATAGAGTTAGCCTACTTTTGATAAGATGTTACTGATGAATACTGTTTTAGTGCTAAAGATAGATAATATAGATAGAAGAATTTCAGTTTTGGAATAAAGGCACCAATTGACACACACATTTTGAGTTTTCCAGAATATTTTATTTTTATTTCTTCTGAAAGTGGAAACAAAAAAAACAACGTTTTCCTAGTCTGCTTAGTGAAGTTTTTAGACATTTTACATAAAATAACCACTATACAGTATTATTTTCTTATAAAAATATCCAGGTCAAGGTCCATTTGTTGATATGCCTTGCGGAAAACCTGATATAAGTCCTGCACTTGGAAATGAGAGAATTGTAGGAGGTCGAGAAGCGATTCCGGGAAGTTGGCCTTGGCAGGTATCACTTCGTGTGTGGGACCTGGAACCTTTTGGTCATGCATGTGGTGGCGCTATTATTAATCGCCAGTGGTTGATTACTGCTGGACACTGCTTTCGTAGGTAGGATCTATAGTAGACTTCCGAAGAACATGATAGTTTAAATCTTGTATGTTGTGTAAGAATAAGTAAAATTATAAACAAAACTCCTTGTGATATGCATTGTTCATTTCGCTGAATAAGCACTTTTTGTTTCTATGAATACAGCCACCTTAAAGCAGCCATTCCTAATACTATAGGTAGCAGTTTTTTTTCCTAAACCGGCTTATCAATATGTAATTTCACTTGGTTTTAAATATAATCGTAATACGTAAAATGTATATATAATCAAAATTCAACATTTTAAGAGGTTTCAATTCTTCGTATCAGTATTATATGATTGCAGAACTAAAAAACTGCAAAAAGACAATTGAAGTTTGGTTCATAGCCAAGTCAGGAACATGTAATAGACGAGGAAATTAAGCAGAACTTGCTTTATCTTTCACTGCTTGATTATACTTTTGTTTTTTGTTATGACGTTGGCTTCCTAATTCCAGGCTTCCATAAGTTGTGATGATGTCGTAAGATGACATATTGTGATTAGAAGCTTCTATAAGTTGTGATGATATTGTAGAAATGAATCCATTTTGTGAGAAGTTTTCATAAGTTGTGATGATGTTGTAGAAATGAGCCCATTATGGTGAGAAGCTTTTGTAAGTAGTGATAATGTTTTAGTAATGAAATCATCATGACGAGTAGTATCCATAATTGGTGATAATGTAGTAATGAACCCATCATGATGAGAAGCATCCATACAGGGTAATAATGTTGTAATAATGAACTCAGTGTGATGAGAACTGACTTTCCAAAGGTTGAATCAATTGCGCTATTTTTGTGTGTAGTTGTGTAATGTTTAAAATATATATTTCTAAATAGGTTCTGATAAACACAAGAGTTTGAATTGTTAAAACTCGGTTTTTTAGAACAAAATGTAAGGAAAGAAGTTGAGCTTAATCAAAGTCTATACTTTAATATTACAACTTATATCAACTGTGTTACGTCTTATGATCTTTGCCTATTAATTCCCGGTTTCATCTTTCACAAAGGGAAAATATTGTTTATTTACACACGCATTAGCAATATTAACTACAAAGGCAAAGTAGTGTATAATTTTAGTTCAGTTAAATTGTACTCTTGTTTTGTGGATGAAAACTGCTACGAGAGATTCAGTAGCTCAGATTTATGGCATTGAGCATCCTACATATACATATATACATTCTCAGTACTTGATGTTTCCAGTGTATAAAAGATAAAAATACTTACCAAACTAATGTTAGGTTATGATAATAATTTTAAGATTTTTCTTCTTTTTTTGTGTGTGGGGGAGGAATTAACAGAAGTTTTATAGATCCCAGTTATTGTAGAAATGATTGTGTATTATTACAGTTAATAACACAATGCGATAATAGTGTAAGAAACAAGTTACATAAAACAACAAAGAAAATTAAGCGTTTTTTGTGAAGATATATTTTTCCCATTTACTTCCTGTAAAACTTTTTCCCAGGTAGTAAATCAGTTGAACATCAAAGCAGTATTGTTTGTGTATTACTTCCTGTAAAACTTTTTCCCAAGTAGTAAATCAGTTGAACATCAAAGCAGTATTGTTTGTGTATTACTTCCTGTAAAACTTTTTCCCAGGTAGTAAATCAGTTGAACTTCAAAGCAGTATTGTTTGTGTATTACTTCCTGTAAAACTTTTTCCCAAGTAGTAAATCAGTTGAACTTCAAAGCAGTATTGTTTGTGTATTACAACAATACCGAATGAACTTCAAAGCAGTATTGTTTGTGTATTACAACAATACCGAATAATTACATTAAACCATAGTATAAATAAATTACATTCTAACCTAGGTGTTTAAGAAATACTATTTATAAGATAACATAATTGGATTTCCTCTGAAATCCTTATAGAAAAGTGGAATATATTAAAAAAGTTGTTTTCAGATTTAATGTTCAAAACTTTTGGTTTGAAATATATCTTGTTCTTTATTATTATTATTGCTTAAAACATGTTTAACTTTCCAAAGGTGATTCATGTTCCACCACCTAAACTTTGTTTAAATAGCAAACATGGTTTTTCAAATAGTATTATTAACAAAAAGAATTAATACAGTAGTTTCCTAAAAAGGATTATACTTTACTTGAATGTTGAGGTATAAAAACGATATACCGCAAAGCAGCATATAACACAAAGTAGGTTTAACTTACGTTAGGCCTGTTTTTACGTTTGCTTTTTCAATGTAGCGTTTTCATAGTTCACCCATATGGTGTCTTTAATAAAAAGTATGAAAAATTTAGAAAAAACTACATATGGATAATTTTTAACAAGCACATGTCAAGTTCTGTTGTACAGAGTTTCATCAAGAATTCTAATCCGACATTGATTTATATAGGTACCCTAAGAGGAAGTCATGGAGGGTACACGTTGGAAAATACAGCAAATTGATCCATGATTCAACTGAACAAATCCGATATGTGGATGCCATTTATTCCCATCCAGATTTCAAAGGACTTGAACCATGGAATGTAAGATATGGTTTTAATATGCTTTATTTCCTTCTCATTTAACCCTTAACATTCGTATAAAGTGTGTAATTTTTCTACATAAAAATTATAGGAACAACAGAAGCCACACATCGAGTAAACACGGTAAAGGTTTCTGCGATTCTTTTTAATATTTAACTGATTCTTTTAAGTGGGATTTGTGTTTAATTAGAAGAATTAATTAGAACATTTGATCAAAAGTATGTAGACTGTATAGTTCAGAATCTGGATCAGATGTGGCTGAGTGGTTAGCCTCCCCGAATTGAGAATTTAGGGTCTACCAATTCAAAATTAGAGACGACTTGAAAATTCTAAAGAAAGAAACAGGATCAAAACCAAAAAAGTAACTTATGAATTGGGGACACTAATCAATATGATGCAACGCGTCGTCCCCATGGTACTTAACGGTACGTAAAAAAGTTCGGTACTCTTGAAGGTTAAGTATTTTGAATGGCAGATCGCATACAATTTACCTCTAGATCATTCATGGTAATTGCTGTTCTCTTTTAAAACCTAAATTACTACAATTATTATTTCAACTAAGCCACTTTCAATTAAACTGCGATTTAGCCGTAGCAGAATAAATAAACTAATAATTAAAAAGATCTCAGTTGTAAACGAAATCACTGAACAAATTTCCATATGTGGAAACATAACATCACATTAGCGATTAAAAAGTTAAGCATACTTTAAACTCACTAATATTGTGTCATGGAAGTAATCAAACTAAATTTTCTAGAAAGCCAGGGATGTTGCAGCAGTCAAGTTGAATGCACCGATAGAATTTACGCCATTTGTCCAGCCTGTCTGTTTGCCTAAGCCAAACTTGGACATACCACCTGGAACTGTGTGTCACGTGACTGGCTGGGGAATCGCCAGAGGTAACTTTATAGAGGAAACTTTAAATGGTCTATACTTTCATTATTATTTAAATAATAAATACAAATATATATTACGTTAACTTCATACAGTTTAACCTTATAGTGTCAAATATCTGAGATGAACAAGTATACAAAAGGTTGTATTTATGTACAGATTTATTCCTCCTTTTCTTAGAAATGTGGAGACAATCAATGGAAAAAATAAAATATCAGACCACAAAGGGCGTTCGTTTGAGTTGTTAATATTAACTTCTGATCAATAGTTTCCGCGATATATTATTTGTATGTTTTGTTAACTGTTTTGTTACAGGTTTTGTGACTAACAGTAAGCATGATTCCCTTTTTCACAGTGTTTTAGCCCCCCCCCAGTGGCACAGCGCTATATTTGCGGATTTACAACGCTAGAGCACAGATAGCCCATTGTGTAGCTTTGTGCTTAATTACAAACAAACAAACAAACACAGTGTTTTAACTAACGTTTTTTTATTTCAAACTACTTAATTAAGTTAATAATTAGATTATGCTTGTATACCTTTTTTTGCTATTAGAATAACTATGTCACATCTACATCAGGTTGTTCGAAGTGAAATTTTTTTATCTTGATCGAGAATGGAAAAGCGCTGTTTTAGTTTAGAAACATTCATGTATAAACGGACTTCTCGTACCCGTTAACTAAAACTAAAACAGAAATTAAAATTTTTGTGTTCGCTCAAATAGACTTAAAGTTTTAGCAGTAATCAATTAATGATTACTTTGCCGAAACATCATGGTTCAGTTTTGAATTAGTGACTAAATATGGTTTCGTTTGAATTAAGGAACACTTCAGTATACTAACACATGAAAATACAAAGAAATTATTCAAATTTCTTTAAGGGAAACACAATTAGATGGTCAAAGTTTCGGTTGAACGACTTTCAACCTAGACTTCAGGTCGAGTGTTTCTAGACATGCATGAAATAATTATTTCCATTTTTGACTTACCAACTACTTCAAAGTTATTGAATAGGCAAGAGCTCTTCGGATCAGTTAATCAACACGAATCAGGTAAATTAACTTGGTTTGTCAATACATGGGATCTGGTAAATCATCTTGATTAGTAAACACTTAGGATCAGGTAAATCATCTTGATTAGTAAACACTTAGGATCAGGTAAATCATCTTGATTAGTTAACACTTAGGATCAGGTAAATCATATTAATTAGTTAACACTTAGGATCAGGTAAATTATCTTGACTAGTCAACATTTAGTATCAATGTAAATTATCTTGATTACTCAATCCTTAGAATCATGTAGATTATATTGATTATTTTAAATCGGATAAGCTCGCTTTTTTTTAATTACTCATATAACCATGTAATAAACTTTAAAAATAAATTTTATAATGTACTAAAATTCTAATCATGTTTTGATAAAGAGTGGGTCTTGATTATAATGAGTTATACTTCTCATAAAACATTAGTATTAGGCCTATAACATTCATTTTTTTAACACTACATTCATTATGTAGTCCCTTAAGGGTTTTCCAGAAGTAGAAGAGTGTATTATAATAATAATATTGAAACCACTCTATGTTCGTCATATCCAGTGCCAACGACACGTTTCGCTAAATTCAGAGCTCATCCTGCCTACTGGGATAAAACAAACACAGCTTGATAAAGGCGTTCTCATCATAACAAGTACGATGAATACGGTTACACGCTTCATAAAGTCATTAACTAATTAGTAGAAGGATAGATTAATTAAAGGAAAGTTATTTCCAGGTACTGGTAGTGAACTAATACTGAAACAAGCAGCAGTGCCTGTGATACCGAGGCGAAAGTGTCAAGAATGGTATGGACCCGACTACCGTATCGATGAGAATGTAATTTGTGCAGGTTTTCCTGATGGCGGTCACGGTGCTTGCAACGTAAGTGTTCCTATCTAGTGTACACAACTGAACGGTAAGAAGTCGTGAGAATATATATATATATATATAACACATTGTAAAATTTCTTTCAGAAAATTATTAGGATGTTCAAATGAGTTACTAGAAGGTAAACCACAAGTTTCAGTATTGTTTGAATTTTATAGATAACCTTCTCAGTTTGAATGTTTCCGAAAATTATTAGTACTTGTTTATAAGTGGTGTACTCACATAAAGTGCGCGACTTCTTGTAGCAGAAATTCTGACCAATGACGAATAATCATTAAAAATACTAATTATAAGTCATGCGTGAAGAACAGGTTACTAAAGGCAAGCATTATCAATAATTCTTAATAGGTAAACATGAAGAAAGGGTACTATAGGTAATTGGTAAGTATAACCACTATAGGTCAAGCATAACCAACAAGTCACTAACGGTAATCGTTATAAATATTCACTAGAGGTCAAGCATGAGCAACAAGTCACTAACGGTAATCGTTATAAATATTCACTAGAGGTCAAGCATGAGCAACAAGTCACTAACGGTAATCGTTATAAATATTCACTATAGGTCAAGCATGAGCAACAAGTAACTAACGGTAATCGTTTTAGATATTCACTGTAGGTCAAGCATAACCAACAAGTCACTGACGGTAATCGTTATAAATATTCACTAGAGGTCAAGCATGAGCAACAAGTCACTAACGGTAATCGTTATAAATATTTATTATAGGTCAAGCATGAGCAACAAGTAACTAACGGTAATCGTTATAAATATTCACTAGAGGTCAAGCATGAGCAACAAGTCACTAACGGTAATCGTTATAAATATTTATTATAGGTCAAGCATGAGCAACAAGTAACTAACGGTAATCGTTATAAATATTCACTATAGGTCAAGCATAGACAGCAGTGTTTTGCTTCCTGTTATGGCTAACACTTTATGTCAAATCCTTTAGCAAAAAAGGACAAACAAAATCCGATTTAAGAATGAATTAATCAGTTCCCAAGTTGTGGGCCTTAACTAATAAAGTTGACGTCACCCTGACTGCTGACAAACACAAACAAATTCCCAATCATCATGGAATCCCATCAGGAACATCACTCGTTGGGTAGTAAGTTATTTGGTTACAAGATAAGACACAATGAAAATATAACTATATTTTCTTATAATTTTTATTTATAAAATAACGTTCTTAAAACATTTTGAAACAGAGTACAACTAGACTTTACTTTAACCCCGAAGTCCCACTATTGATAATGGGTCTCACAAAATTTTCCGATTACTCAGGTGGGTCGTGAGTTTAGAAAGTTTAGGGATCCAACTTTAGATGATTCGTTCACTCTAATGGTCACTTTTAGTTCATTCAAGTTTCTTTCCGTTTATAACTGTTTCTTGTCATGTAGAGACAAAAGTGAAAGCAGTTTCTCTTCAAACAGCACAATATTGATAGTATTTTTTCAGGGTATTAAAAGCAAATTAATTTTCTTATGTCTTTAAAAATATTCGTTGGAAATCACTATTATATGAGTTTTATAACAAACTCTTTCTTTAATTAAGTAATGGTAGGACATGAATAAGGACGTAAATGTAAATAATTATGGAAATCAAGAGGAAAAAGGTATAGATTATAAATACTGCAGGAATGATATCCCATTATTATGTGAAAATGAAATGCAGTAAAGTACTATCATGTTTTATAATTTATAATGTAAATGGTTGTCATCCCACCAATTCGGAAAGTGATACACCATACTCTGCCCAGTAGTAGTAATGTGTTCCAACCATGGCTCACAGAAGTGAAATAAGCATATAGAAATAAAAAATTTGCCTGGTCAAGGATATTCCATGTAAAAAATTATAGAAAGTATGTTTCAATAGAAGCTGCGTGCAATACTCTAAAGGTACGTGAAACTGGCGCTGTTAATAATAACAATGATCGAGGTAAAAAATTGAAACTCTCTAAAAATGAAGCCTTCCGGATAGATGATAGTCGATTCTAGATCTTTCCAACAATATTTTCATAAACACAAGTGTGGATGTAACCCGTAGAAAAGCATAATTCACATTACCACCAAGTGGTCTCAGTGGATGTGTAGTTGTTTGAAAACTGCTTCCGAGAAGAGGTAACGAAATATAAAGGTTTAAATAAGCATCAGACTACAAACAGTGGAATGGTCAAAGCTCGGACATGCGCTCTTTACACATGAATCCAATTTCGAATATCTCAACAAAACTTAACAAAGGACAAAGGTGTTATAGTCAATGTATAACACCTACAGTGAAGCATGTTGGGTAGATTATTACAAGTTTGGAGCTAAATCTCAGCAAACAGTGTCGATGACCTACATGAAATTAATGGCAGCCTAGTTTCTGACAAGTATAGGCAGAGTCTGCTCTGTGATACCATTTCCTCAGGAACACAAACTCATCAGGCAAAAATTCCCCTTCTAGCAAGATAATGATCCTAACGATACAGCAAATTTTATGTAACGATATCTTGGCTTAAAGAGGCCAATGTATTACTCACACCAAGGCTTGGCCTGCACAAAGTCCTGATATGAACTAAGAATGTCCAAAGGCCACCAAACAAATTGGCTGAAATATTGATAGTAATAGAGAACATTTGGAACAATATTTCACAATCATATATTGATACACCATATGGCAGTATGAAAAGTATAATGCTGTGTTTGAACTAAAGGGTCACAAACAAAATGCTAGGTATACTGTGCAATTTATTAAATTTTCTTTCGTATTTTCTATGATAATGTTTTGTACCCTTCATTGTGGCCTCAGTCAGATTTTGCATATTTCATGCATTGTCCAGTAATATATCTCTATCCATGGGCTCTGCCAAGATGAAAGCTAAGTCGGCCCTGGGCATTTTAGGTGTTGGTAAACATTCAAGCAGATCTTCAATGTTACTAAACAGGTAGCTCTCAGTAAGCTCATTCTCCATGATGTTAATGTTTTAGCACAAACCTACAAGATGGGCTCCGTCCACTGTGTGAAAGTAAGCTCTGAATTTTAGGGTTGTAAGTCCAGAAGCTCACTACTAACCCACTGGCAACACAAACAGAGTGATCTGCAACTGGCTATTGGAAAACAATAAGGGTTAAGAAATTCATTTTAAATAGAAAGAGTCAACTTAGAAACTTTGATGTCAAACGAACTTTTAGTGGTCAGAAGACTTAGTCAAAAGTGTAGATTAAGATTGTAATGGCCTTGTTATAACAACATTCTCTATCCAAAAGATTCTTTTAGAAGCAGAGTGCTAAGACTATTGCTGTGGTCAAGTGACAATTTTTACAGGCTTTTGTGTATTTAAATATATATTTCCTGCAAACAATGTAACACCTGAAGACATCACGGCCTACTTAGGCTTCATCGGGTCTCGTGCGTGACGATATATTTTTAAAATGTATCTTGAAGAGCTGAAACATTGCATGGTGAAATATAACACTTAAGTCTAACTATTTTTAACCTTATTTTTTCATTAGTGAAAATAGTTTCTTTGAAACAATAGATAATTCATAAAACAATTCTAAATGAAAGAAAGAAAATACTAAAGACAGAAATTTATATTATTTTCTGTGCTAATAATCTTAAATGACAATTTTTGCACTCTATAGGGTGATAGTGGAGGCCCTCTAGTGACAAAAATAGATGGCACATGGCAATTGGTGGGAATAGTTTCAACTGGGGGAGTATGTGCTTACGCTGAGCAGCCTGGCATCTATACAGCCGTAGCAAGTCAAGTTCCATGGATTCTACACACCATCAATGAAGATATGCTCCACTTTTTTGTGTAGGAATGTAGGATTATTTACCAACGATGACCACATTGACTAGATTCAATAACTAAGTTTAAGTACTTACTTTTTTCTGAAAATTTAAATATTGTTTGATAAAATATTAGAAATTTATCTTCTGAAATAATATATATATGTATATATATATATAAGCATTTATTTGTTTTTAAGCGCAAAGCTACATAATAGACTATTTGTGCTGTGCCCACCACGGATATCTAAAGCAGATTTTTAGGCTATAAGCCTTCAAACTTACCGCTGAAACACTGACGGTGGGCATATATAACTGAAAAAAGTATTAAAGAAGATATTAAGAACTAAAATCCACCTCTAAAGTGAATCATTATACGTACTTATTAAAAGCGACTTCTAGGACTCTGGCATTTTCAATGAAACATATTTACCAAAATATTTAAAGGTTAATTATTTAAGTCAATATAAAACAAAAACGAAAGAAATGTAACGCTAATTAATTTTTAAACCTAAAACACTTTTCCCACTTAAAAAAAGTAGCACACCAAACTTTCACTGGGCTTTTCAAACTAATTAGTATTGTTATGGGCAAGTTGATTCCTCATCCCCTTACACCAATTAGTATTGATTAACCTTCATACAACTTATCAATTTGCTAATAAATTATATGTAGTTGGACTGGATAATCAAAATATCAGAAAATACATCAGGTCAGCAATAACAGATTTTCTAACGTTCCTTTTAATGTAGTACACTTTAAAACTTTCGTCTACACAACAGAACCACGTGATTGAAGAGATGAGCTAAAGGCACTGCAACATAAAGTTTGGTGAATGATATTCAGCTACCCTGATATCCGACCAATAAATTTAAAGTATCCGTAAAACGCAAGTTTCGGAAATGTTAAGCAAAGACTATAATGCCAGTAGTACACGTAGAACACCTGTAGGAAAATTTATATGAACTGGTAATGAAAGGGTGAACCTCATGACCATTTCTGTCAATGTAGGTGAAAAGATTTACATAACTGTTTATTTTTTATAATGTTGGTCAATATTGATCATAGCGACAAACGTGCATTTGATGAAGTTTGTTTTTTCTGAACGATTACATATTAAAATACATGTGAATTGCATAAGTGTTTTAGAGATACTTTCTTTTCGATTGTATCTAATAACTATGTACACTGTAATCACGAGTATACCAAAGAATTAATTGAACAAACTATATTATGGTTTATTAGGTCCTGACCATCCTTCAAACTCGTGCCACTGAAAAACAATATGCACTGCAATCACACGTATAGCATAGAAATCTTTGGACAAACTATATTATGGTCGTTACACACTCTTCATAAAATTAATAAATTTTTGGTGGAATCACAGTTCGTACAAAAGTTGAACAAAGTCAAACTGTAGTTTTGGTATATGCTGTTCCATTACGTCTCTATATCATCTGTGGTTGCCTTGTGACTTATTAACTTGAATATTTAAAATCGTTGTAATATAACTTACTTAGTCGTCTGTAGTTATACAAGGTGAAAAAATTTACATGACCACTATCGAATAAATGCACTAAACTACCGAATTTGATTGGTGTATAAACATGTAATCTTATAAATACCATTCAACATGTCTAATAGTTTAGTGGGTAACATTGTAATAATGTCTTAAAACAGTTAAACCTCTTTCCAAATCACAGATGCGTACAGACTACTACTGTCCACTATTACTCTTTGTTCAAGCATCTCTTTTATGCATTATTTTATGAATTATATTCAGTGTTGTAGGTCCTTAAGAAATATTGCCCTATAATACAACCTGTTTCTAAATCTATCTGCTTACAGTAGTAAAATGACTGTTCTATCTCTAAGTTTCATACTCTTATTTAAACACTATACTTGCCTAGTATTTTAATAGAATGTCCTGTTATGGAAGTAAATATACTTTTAGAAACTTCCTACCAAGCATTATTTTACAATGTTAAATTTCTATTCACTAATTCTGTACTTAGCAGAAAAGATCGAATGCCTGTGTCAACCAATAACCGACATGTTATACCCTCTATATCTACCCAAATTACTGGTGACACTTCATTAACACTATGGATATTCAATCTTTTATTCCAAACTACCGGAACTTCCTCTATTTTCACTCTGTAATCCTGGTGGGGGTTACTTTTTTTATTCTACAGCGAATGTCGAACTACAGTTGTTTCTTGGGAACTTTCTTCTGAAGGTTCCAGCCTTTTGGGCTTTTCTATTTTCTGTTTTGGTGGCTTCTGCAATTTCTGGCTATGTGGCCTTTACTTCCACAATTAAAACATGTTATATGATCATTTCTTTTCTGTTTCTAAAACAGTTTTTCGCTATGTGACACAATTAAAACATGTTATATGATCATTTCTTTTCTGTTTCTAAAACAGTTTTTCGCTATGTGACACAATTAAAACACTGGAAGCTGTTGGGCTTATTCCATTTGTTTTGCCAGTTTGTTTTATCATTTCAGTTACTCATTAGTATGTTTATAGCAGAGTGATGAGGTTTGTAGATCTGTTTTTTCACGTAGCTCCTCTCGTGTAGCTACTCAAATCAGATCCAGCAAAGTCAGGATAGGCGTGTTTGCTTCATTTACGTTTTGTCAAGTTACGTTACTGGTTAAATCTCGCTCATAATCTGACTCCAAGGTACACTGTATCTTGTATCATCAGCTCATTCGAACGACTATAAGCTCGGCATAGTTTGTTATCTAATTCTTGTAGCTTATGGCCAAATATATTGACTAAGTTTTTGTTGAGTCAAGCTATGTAGCTGTGTCAGAATTATGTTGGGTGTTTCTTGCTTTCTATATTCCTGCACTAACCTGCACACCAGATACTAAAAATCTGCAGCTTCTTGCAGTTCGTCATAAACTCTAATGTAATGCTTTGCTTCTCCTGCTGTTCTCAATCTCAAAATATTAGCTTTTTGAGCATCAGTCCATCCTGAAATTCTAGCAGCTTCATTTAATACATCAATAAAACTATTGATATTCTTATCGAGTTTGCCATGGAATAGTGGAATTGCACCCATTAAGTGTGTAGTGGACTACATGGACCAATTTGTATGGGTTTATCTGCTGCGCCAGTCCTTGTATCAACTCTGGGTCGTGCATCCTCTTCTGTTGTTGTGTCTACGCCAACAGTAACCATGTCTACTTACTTATTTATCTACTTATATTACTTAAACTAACTTTCTTACTTCTACTCCTTTCTTTACTCAAACCAACCTGTCGTTAGTTAACTCCAAAGGTCCTGGAAGACTTCACCAATTTGTAACGGGGCACCGTGTAGGCTATTCGGTCTGAATTACAAGAAATTACCAATATTTCTCGTTCAAGCTTTATGTAAGTAACTATTGCTACCTCTCTCGGTCGAATAACATAGTTAGGAAATTGATGTAAAATGCATAGTATTAAGGAAAACTTGTAAAAACTATGTTTGAGCACATTTCACTTAATGCTATAATTGATAACCTATTGATTGTAGTAATGAATTTAATGAGTATTATTTAAAATTTAATTTCAAGACAGTTACGAACTCAGACTGAAGAATTTAGTAATTTTAACAATGAAATGTTTCAAAATACCTTTGGTAATCTCGTCATAGCCGAGTACCTTAATATATCGAATTAAAATGTTGTTGTTTTTTTAATCTCAGTCTCTGAGTCAGATTCTGTATTCTAACTGTAAACTTCCCTCAGTTGGTGACTTGTGTACTCCACTCGCGGCTGTATACCTGGATTTAAGTAAATTTATATATAACTGGATTTAAAGTCGAACTCCAAGATGTTCAGAAATGTTCTCATTTTTGGTAAAGTTGGGTCAGGCAACATCAGCGGTAACTTCAACAGCAAGTTTGGTACCTTCTTGTCATGAGCTAAGAGACTTATTTTTAGGCCAAAACATGCTTTTTTTTATACACAATTTCGTATATTGTGGCGATTTTCCAAGTAGTTTCCACATCCAACTCGCAAATAGATCCGCCCCTTTAATGAATTTTTCGACTCGTCGTAATTCTCGGAACTTGAACCAATACTAAACTAGTAATTGGTTATGATCGAAGATGGTAAATTGGCAGCCTATTTGCATGTATTTTTCCTCGTCTTCCTTCCGATCAAAGTTCCGCCAAAATTCTTTGATTTCCTTTCTAATTCTTTTTATACAACTTGCTTCCTGCCTTTAACGAAGTTAAAATAAACTTTCTCACAGCTTTCTCTCTGCTAATGTTGCTTCTGTTTATGCAGATAAGATAAACAGTTGATTCACGATACCGCCCGGAATGCATTTTAGTTTATACTTTCCCTTCTTGATCAAGCGTCGTTATGTAACTTCTCTTGTGTATTCAATAAATGTGCACAGCTTTTCTTCATATTGCATGCATGTATGTCACATATGGAACCCCATAAAATTATATACCTGTTTCCATGAAGCATTTAAAAATCACATAAAATGCTTCAAGCGCAACATTTAGTCCCGTCATTGACTGGTATAGGCACTGACCTTGAACACGTGGATCTGAGGTTTAAAATAATTTTATTCTTATTGCCATTTTATTTACCAAGTAAAATAAACGAATTGTGTCTCAAAGAAAAAATAAAATTGTTTTGAAAGTTTTCTATGAACATTCCCTTGAAGCAAACAATTAACACTGTTTTTAAACAGATAATAGCATACTGTGTTTGATACTGTAGACCTCGAACTTTATCATTTAATTTGTATTATTTCTGATTAAATGTAAAATCTCGCTGTACCGTATAGCTGTATAGTTTTAATCATTTAAATGTCAACCTATACTAATAAAACCACTACAATAAAAGCAAACATTGCAAATATTGACATTGTTCTTAACGCATGCGTTGAGATACGCATTTTTTTAAAATTCACATTTAAGTGAACAGCACATGAGAAAATTCCCTGCACCTAAACCATCACATAACAACAATTATACTTAAAACTTCTTGGAAATAAAATTGAAGCCATTTTTGATGGCTGAATTTCGCTTCCCTTCGGAGTTCATTAGTATGTCACGTACAACATCATTTTTCCAGATTTGGTACTTTTATCGTAAAACCCCCAATTCTAGTAAAATATTGGACTATG